CTTACCCGGTCCTTTTTATATATTGTTATTTTACTTTCTTTTAATTTTAGAAAGAGAATCAAACGATTTCGTGGGGAGGACGTATTAATTATATATATCTTTATTCGTGTTTTGGAATTTGTAAGAGTGCGTCAATAACACCATTAGCACGTTGTCATTAGCTGAATTTTTATCTGAAATTTTCATTGTATAATATCTTATCTATGTGATTAATATTCAACAGCAAATTAAATGCATAGACTGTGAAGGAAATTATGTTAATAAATAAATAGATAAGTAAATAGATTAATAAATAAATAAATGGTGTTTTCTTTATTACATTACAGACTTACTGATTTAGCCACGTAGACCTTTTTCTCTCATAATATATCTTCTTTCTCTCTTTCTTTCTTTCTCTCTTTCTTTCTCTCTCTCTCTCTAGAGAGAGAGAGAGAAAGAAAGAAAGAAAGAAAGGGAGAGAAAGAGAGAGAGTTGAGTTCTCATTTTTTGTGAAATATCGGACTGCACTCTTGCTACCCTAGGTGCTGTCGCCGTAGTCCCCTTTACAAGTGATGGCGTTTCCAGATCCTTGCCCAACCGGACTGGTCCTCAACAGAGAATAGAGAGACCAAGCTACCCTACTATTTCATCCATAGACTTTATGGTCTACTTACAACACACAAACCAGATATTCCAATCCGGCCCATAAGAGCAGGAATTGCTAGCGCCTCACAGAGATCGGCGAAAGCCATAACAATCTTATCATCACTCCTTGGAACAATTTGTCCTTCACATTCTATTTTTTTTTCTTACTGATTGTACACTCAAGAAGAGAATTTATTCCTTTTTTTAATATCTTGGAATGATTATTCTTGAAATAAGATAGTTCCCTGTCCCTGTCTTTTTTTTAACAAATTCACCACAAGCAAGGCGATAATGCCACTAAGACGCAAGGATCTACTTGGAGTCAAAGAGATGAAAAAACTTTAGAAGGAAATCTTAAGCATAGTACTAGATTAGCAACAAGTCTCATCATTTTACCGTGGATTTGGTTACATATAACCGTAACAGTTTCTTTTTCTCGCACTTCTCGTTTGTGAAACTCTTTTCCGGCTACATGCTTTTCAGCCAAATTTGATCTTCAAAAATTTAAATGCAATCTCAATCGTTATCTACTGTCTTTCTGATTATTCTTCTGTTGTTCTTGCTCATTAATAATGTTTCTGCTTTCTAATCTTTTCACGCCAAGCAATCCCTTGTGTCTTAGTGGCTTTACTACCTTGCTTGGAGTGAAATTATTAGAGAAAAGATTAAATAAAGGCTTCAGTTCGAAATTCTCTGAAGGACGTGTGATGACCAAAACATGAAGATTAGTCCGGGTGTAAATAATGAAAATAAGCATAATTCGACAGTATTGTAATTATGAGTTTAATCTCACCTGCGGAACTCTCTTCCAGTTTTTTTGCTTTCCAGCCAAATTTGATCTTCAAAAATTTAAATGCAATGTCAATCGTTATCTACTGTCTTTTTGATTACTCTTCTATTGTTCTCGCTCCTTAATAATGTTTCTTGTTTTCTTATTCTTTCACAACCAGTAATCCCTTGTATCTTAGTGGCTTTACTGCCATGTGTGGGGTGAATTCGATTAAAAAAATGTTGAACAGGAAACAATAGATAAGCCTTTACATAGTTTTTTTTTTACTCTAGATCTATCCATTTCAACGACTTCTTGTTCTCTCAAAACTAGACAGCCCAGTCTGCCTTACTATTTAACTAGATCTGTGGAGAGAAAAGGGGAATTTTAAAAATTATCATGACCATGGAGCAAAGCAAAGGAAACAGCCTCGGTTATCATTTGAACTTGGCCTGCCGATTCCATTATGCCACCAACATAGGCACCGAAACGAATAAGTTTAATGTTCTGAATATTTTGGTGGGCTGATAAGGAATCTCCAAATAATGACTGCATTTTTAATCGTCGGAATAATTCATTCAATGGAAATATTTCAATCCAGAACTTACGTTTTAAATTTATATAGAACGTCCCTGCACTCACTTTTAAATAGGTTGCATTTTAAAAAAAATATATCCAACAGAAATAAGCCACATCAAGGGTAACAATTCGTCGAATTTTTTACGTCTCTACACGGTAGAGTAATGGATAGCGGCGCGGATTGAGGAATCGGAAATCTGAGTTCGAATTCCTGTCGAATCCGTTACATTCACTTACGTGCTTAATACCCTTTGGAAATGTATGAATCCTTTTCTTCTATGGGTAAATAGCAGGACAGACCGGGTTCTTATACCTTGGATGGCAACTGGTCTACGACAGACCGGGTTCTTATACCTTGGATGGCAACTGGTCTACGACAGACCGGGTTCTTATACCTGATGGCAATGTCCACGACAGACCGGGTTCTTATACTTGATGGCAACTGGTTCACGACAGACCGGGTTCTTATACCTTGATGGCAACTGGTCTACGACAGACCGGTCTTATACTTTTGATGGGGTCTACGACAGACCGGGTTCTTATACCTTGGATGGCAACTGGTCTACGACAGACCGGGTTCTTATACCGTGGATGGCAACTGGTCTACGACAGACCGGGTTCTTATACCTTGGATGGCAACTGGTCTACGACAGACCGGGTTCTTATACCTTGGATGGCAACTGGTCTACTGCAGAAAGAAATGACGACCTACTTCGGGGTAAAAAAAGCTTCTTCGCATGGCACATAACTGACTGACCCATTGGGATACACAGGCAAATACTATTTGCTTTTTCTTTTTAATTGGTGCTCTCGAAATTATACACGGGGACAAGCAAGAAATTATCTTAAATGCAAATGAATAATGTTCACGTGAAATTTTACAGTTTTTGTGGCAAGTCATTTTGATTTCGGGGAAATTCTTTGCTACATTATCAATCATTGCGCTTTCTGTTTTTTTTTTTTTTCTTTTCCTCTTCTTTCTCGCTTTTATGGTTTCTTTCTTTCTTTTCGATTTTGGTCTTTATTTCTTTCGGCTTTTTTCCTACTTTCTCTAGATCGTCTTTCGTATTCTTTTCTTTCATTTTCTCTTTCTTCTGGGATTTCTTTCTAAATATTATTTCTCTCTGTTTTACATTCAATTATCTTTTTCTAATGACAGATTCTTTCTTTCTTTCTTTCTTTCAATTCCTTATTTTTTTTCTATCGTCGTTTTGCCTAAATCTAATTTATTTTCTTTCTTTCTTTCTTTCTTTTTGTACATTCCACGTGCCTAATCTATTGTTCTCACTCCTTAATAATGTTTTCTTTATTCTTTCACACTCAATAACCTCTTTTGTCTTAGTGGCTTTATTACCGTGTTTTGCGCGAAATTATTTAAAAAATAATTCTTATACTCTTTCTTTCTTTTGTTTTTCTGTTCTTGACCGCCATAATTTGTCTTTCATTTCTCCTTCCGTTTACCACGCTTTTTCATTTTATCTTTTCGTCTTTATCACTTTTTCTTCTCGAAATTTCCACTCATTTTTTTCCCTTCATTTTCTTTTTCTTTCTTTCCTATTCGATAACTTTGGATGTATATATTCCCTCATATCTCAGTCCTTAGCTGTTTCTCTTCTCTTTTTCTCTCTCACTTTACCAACTCTAGCTCCTCCCCGCAGACTATATTACTCATCTCAGATTTTTATCCACCATTCTCCTTTTGTCGACTAGTTACTCGCCCTTATGAGCACCCCACTTTTCTTTCTTTCTTTCTTTCTTTTGGATTTGCTCGGTTGTTGAAGAAGTTCCTCTGCTAACTTGTCCTATATTCGAACCATTCTAAAGATCAGAATTCTCGCGCTGATTTTAAGAACAAACCACTGATCTTGTTTATTGCCGATTTACTTGATTTATACACATTTCAGGAGACAATTCATTCATTTGTATATAAAAATCTGCCATAGTTACAACTTGTTCCTTCAAAACGTGAATAATTATGGCTTCCCATAATTCCCTATCCTTCGTAACTCTAAGCAAATTTGACCCCTTTACTCCCACCTCTTAGTCTCTGTTCTGCTATGCATTTACATTAGCTCGTTAGGCACTTTCTTGCTGTTTCCTTCCGCCCTTCTCGCCTTCAATATATTTTGTGAATGTTAAATTCTCCAAACCGTCTTTCCTCGTTATGTTTCATTGATATTTTAATTGTCTCTTACTGATTCTAAGTAAAAGTGTCCTTTTTCTAACCTTTCTTTTGTCTTGTTTCTGTTGCTGTGTTTTACAACTCTTAGATCCCAAAGAATTCTCTGGAAAGGTTTGAACTCGCATCGAAACGTCTGCTCGTCCAGGGCATCTGTCTTACTGATCAGGCTTATAAGATTTAGGAGCAAAAAAGAAAACTCAATAACTATATAGCTTTTTTTATTCTTTATTTTCCTGAACATCGCCATCTTTGGTTTTTTTCTCCGATGTATTTTTATATTACGTTTACCAGTTGGATTTATTAATATTTAGTGTTAATATCAACGTTCGATTGTATTTCTTTACTTTTCCATTTCTTTTATCACAACTATCAGATCGTCATTCTACGATCGTAAGCATTGCAGATCAGAAATAATGAGTTAGCCTTCAGCGAGATTCGAACTCAGATCCACCTTTTTTTTTCTCATGAGGCCTGCTTACCCAGATTGTTTTCCTGACTTTTCCATCTTTCCAACTCTAACACTTTCTTGAGCTTTCACGTCTCCCCCTCTCTTTCTGACACGTCTGCTTGTCTCTTCCCCCTCTTTCTACACCCACCCAGTCCCTTCCTCCTACCTAAATTCACACCCTTATCTTTGCTATTTTGACGACCGCCTGAACCATCCTCTTTCCGCGTCTACATCTCCCCGCCTTCTTTGCCGTCATAAAAATTACAATAAAACTATTACGAGTGACAGCAAGCAAACGCCGCCACAATATTGCAAAATTCGATCCGTTCATTCTGATTAGTGTTGTCATTAGGCGAGTAAAATGTTCCTCGTTTGTCTGAATAAAGCAACCAAGATTAATGTTGACCTGGGATAAGCGAGTCTCACTCGAATTACATGCTGCGAGATCCGCTTGTTCGAGGCACTCCATAGCCGACGAAGAAAACGCTCGCCTCGACGGGAATCCGTCCACACATCATCTATCCATCCACTCATCGGTCTATCCATTCCCTTGTCCATTCGGGCAACGGGCCAATCAAGTGTCTTGCCACCCAGAATTTAATTCTTCATTTTTTTTTTTACTTCTTTCTTTCTTTCTCTCTTTCTTTCTTTCTTTCTTTCTTTCTTTATTCACTCCGTCAAATTCGCTGGATTATTGAGTTGGTTTCCTTTCTATTTCTTTCTTTCTTTTTTTTTACTCCTCTGCATCCACTGATTCATCACCTTTTAAATTCATCCCATTTCTTTATTACTGAGGCTTACGATTGTTTTCTTTCTTTTTTCCGTTCCTTCTTTCATTTTTATTTCCTCTTTCATTATTTCCCCTTTCTTTTCTTTCTTTCTTTCTTTCTTTCTTTCTTTCTTTTACTTTTTTAATCTACCATCTTTCGTACTTTCTCTAAGTTTGCATTCTTTGTTTCTCTTTTTAAATCTTTCTTCTTTGATTGTTTTCTCAAAATTTATTTTGTTTTTCTTTCTTTCTTTTTCTTTCTTTCTTTCTTTCACTTTTTTATTAAATATTTTTTCTTCTTTCGTTGTATTTCCTAAATTTGTTTCGTTTTTCTTTTTTTTTGTTTCTTGATTTCTTTCCCTTAAACTTTTCTTCGTTTTGCATTGTATTTCTTAAATCAACTTCGTTTTTCACCCTTTTTTCTTTCATTCTTTCTTTCTGTCTGTCTGTCTTTCTTTCTTTCTTTCTGCCTGTCTTTCTTTCTTTCTGCCTGTCTTTCTTTCTTTCTTTTTTTTTTTCTCTATTGTATATTCCTTTGTTTATCTCACTAGTTTCATTTTTTTCCCATCCAATACTCTCGCCGGTATCATCCATACTATTATTTAGTTAATCAATCTATTTAATAGAAACACATGCACAGATGTAAATAAGCCTATCAGTCCTGGGTTTTTTTTTTTTTTTTTTTAGAATGCATCAAGAAAGTCTTTCTTTATGGCAGTTATGAAGATATTTCTAAGCGAAACACCTTATTTTTAATTATGCTCATTCTATGTTGCATCGATTTTGGTTCAATTCACCTGTTTAGTATTTTACTGTTTTATCGGAAAATCTAATCATATCAATGAAATCTATTACCGTTTTTTCTTTCTCTTTTCACTCCTCTCTCTCGTCACACACACACACACACACACACACACACACACACACACACACACACACACACACATTGTGATTTTCCGAGCGTGATTTGTATGTATGCATGTGTGCATACACAAAAACACACACACACACACACACACACACACACACATATATATATATATATATATATATATATATATCCCACCAACCAATATATATAACCATTACACTGCCTGGGGGTGGGTATATATATATATATATATATATATATATATATATATATATATAGTGATTATATATATATATATATATATATATATATATATATATATATATATATATACCCAACCAATATATATATATATATATATATATAGGATTTTCCAATGCTTAGATGTGGCACAAGGCCGAAATTAGGGGTACCCACTGAGGATCGAACTCACTACTCAGTCGTAGCTGACCATTGCACCGCCTCGAGGTGGGTGCATATATATATATGATCAAACACACACACACACACACATATATATATATATATATATATATATATATATATATATATATATATATATATATATATATAAACCAATAAAACTGTCAAACTGACAAGGGAATTCAGAGCAGCATGAATCCATCCAACTCTTATCTCAAATAACAACTTAAAAGAGACTGACCAACACAAGGAATGTTAAAAGATTCATGTTAAAAAGATAAAAAAATAAAAAAAAACAAATGAAAACTACAGACAAAAGTTCATTTTCTCCATCAAGACATTCATTTCTGTAGTTCACTGCAACCAGCAAGCAGAAACATTTCTTCTCCTGATGATGGCCATTTTGGCCGAAACTAGTCGAGAAATCTAAATGAAATAATAATAATAATAACGAAACAATATTATTCTACAACACAGTGTGTCTGAAGATTTTAATTTTTTAATATTTTTTATTGTTCAATATATATATATATATATATATATATATATATATATATATATATATAGTGGATTCACATTTTTGAGTCGAGGCCTTATTTTTTTATACAGTATATTTTCGTCTACTGGTTTGGGTTTTCGAAAGTCTTAAGCATTAATGTACTCTTCAGTATGATTTGAACCTGCGTCTCTCTTATATAAGGGAAATAACTGTATAGCCTGCCGTGCTTTTTGTCCTGTAGGATTTTTTTCCCTGCTTAATTGTCATGCGGGATCAAAGAGGTTGCAAGAACATTCTTTTTTTGTATTTCCCCAAAACGTACGCTCAATGTTATCTTGTAATTTGTCTTAATCGAAAAATGGATAATAAATTCCTGGGAGGTATTAGAACGTGTATTCATCGTCTAAATGAGTGATTCTCGATTAAAAATACACGAAAAGGAATTGTATATTTTCTAGATACGTGACGAAAATGTATTCCTACGTTATTTTTCAGCTACTGCACTTAGCACAATAGCTTTTGGGCGCCAGGAAAATCGTTGATTGCAACGTTAACAGAGACTTCGCCACAACGTTGCAATTCTCCCAACCAAAATAAAACCTATCTGAAACGTTGCAAAAGCATTCCGTATTAGCTGGGGATGTTGCTAATTGTACAAGACAAGGTTTAAGTTTTGATGGCTGTCGTCAGAGGACAAGCTTTTTCTCTTTCTATTTTTCGCCTCCCGCCCCCCTCTCTCTCACATATAGGCACGCGCACACACTCTGTACTTATTCCTATCTATCAGTCTTGCAACTTTCTCTAGCGTGCCCTTAATTTTTTTCTCCCTCTCATATCGTGATTTATTTTTTTTGTTAATTTTTCATTTCCTTTCTCTCACTTTCCGTATCTATCTATCTATCTATCTATCTATCTATCTATCTATCTATCTATCTATCTTATATTGAGCGGATGTAAGTGCGGGTAAACTCTAAGTAAGGACAAGATTAGTGTCCATTTAATTTTATTTGTTAATATTAAGGCTCTCTCAAGCACTCTAATTACAATGACTGCTTACCTTAAAAATGTTATCTCCCAGATAGACCGCTTTTCTTTTCTTTTTTTTTTTTCATTTTTTCGAATGTTCGTTATTGTTATCTATCTATCTATCTATCTATCTATCTATCTATCTATCTATCTATCTATCTATCTATCTCAGTCTGTGAATTATCTAAGTTTGTACATTATCTTTCTCTCTATTATAATTTATACATAGGGACAAAATCAACTTATTCACTACAAAGATGCATTCTTGTTTCTATGCGGATGCATCTCGACTAGTGAGAACCAAAATGCTTATAAACAATTCTATTTACAATCAAGCCGCTTATGGAAAAATATAGGGAGAAACACCTTAAGAAGAAAAGGAGAAGGGCAAAGAAAAGTGAGAAAAGAGAAGGAAAAGAAAGAGGATGACAGAGTAAGAGAGTATTATTTGTTGATAGCAGTTTGGGCGGTGAAGGAATGTTGAAGCGTTAAGATAAGGGCCTGAAACGAAAATTTTAAAACAAAGCGAAAGTGTCCGCTACAGTTTTTGATAACGTGCAACGGTCAGAAATCTAAGCAACTTACGCATAAACTCCCAAGAAAAAGAGAGAAGGGGAAATATATATATATATATATATATATATATATATATATATATATATATATAAAACAGCATAATTGTATATTAGGATTTTTGTTTGTTTTTTTCCGTATATTTTTCTTCATATGAAGAAAAAATATGGAAAAAAAAAACAAAATATATATGCTGTTTAATATTAATATAATGGGACATTTCGGTCTAGTAGACCATCTTCAGGACATATTCATAAAACAATATAAATATATATTAAATATAGTCTAATGTTAATTATGTTTTATGAATATGTCCTGGTCTACTAGACCGAAACGTCTGACGTTGACATTATATTAACATTAAAACAACATAATTGCATATTAGGATTTTTGTTTGTTTTTTTCGTATATTTTCTTCATTCTGTCGAATCTATATCCATATATTTGCTTACATATATATATATATATATATATATATATATATATATATATATATATATATATGTATGTATGTATAAAAGTAAGAGTTTATAAGTAGTTCCAACGAGAGATATACGTGCATATTAAAAAGAAGAGAGAAGCCGCAAACGTTTTTGGTTGTAATGTGGATTTAAAAAAAATATATGTTTTATTTTCCATAATTTTGCTACACGGGTTTCCGGTCTCGCAACTGTCATCAGGCAAAGGGTGCAGATTTCCACATATTAAAAATAATTCATTTTTTTTCTTTATGTTTTTCGATGTTAAATATTCTCGACATGAGGCATTTTCTTTTTTGCGTTCTTATAAAATTTGAATAAATATTTATTCGCTTACCTGTGTAACGCACTTATATACGGTTGCTAAAATCTAGTTATTCGGTTTAGCCAATTAACATATATATATATATATATATATATATATATATATATATATATATATATATGTATATTCTTCATTTCTTTTTTTTTCGTCCCTTTTCTATCACCATCTCAGCTTAAATTGATTTCCATTCATCATTTTTCATTATTATTTCCCCCTTTCTGTTTTTTCTAACGCTGTTTTTGACTCTCCCCCACCATCCTCTCTCTCTCTCTCTCTCTCTCTCTCACTTTCTCTTCCCGACAGCCTAACCCCACAGGAAGGATCTATACATTTGGGTTAGACAGCAAGGCAAGACGCGACGAGGGAGATGAGAAGGGCGCACACAACGTCCGATAATGCCAAATGATGACAGACAGTGTGTCCCGGCCACAATGGAGCACGTGTGTGCATAGAAAAACCGCACACTTAAGTACACGATGTGGCGGGAAACTGAGGAAAACAAGTTTTGTTTGGCAAGTGGGAATTGAATTACAACTACAAACAAACGCGGCAAACATCATCGCTTAGCGTCAGGAGTACACACGCATACAACAAACACACGCATTCAAGAGAATAACCCAAAAAAGAAAAAAAAAAAAAGATAATCTTTGGCCATCATCGAATATATAATTATAGATAGATAAAGTAGCCTGTATCGCTTTTGGGATATTTACATATTTACAGGGAATAAAAAAAAAATTTAAAGCTTTAACAGGTCCACAGTTGACCAAATAGAACAAGGTTATTTTTTTTTTTTAAATCAATTCACCTCAAGCAAGGCAATAATGTCACTATAAAGCAAGGGACTACCGGAAGTGAAAGAGAAGTAGACTTTAGAATGAATCGGAAGCTCAATAATAGTATAAATTTCAGATTTAGGAGCAAACGTTAGAAGTAGAATTTAGAAGGAACCAGAAACCCAATCATAAAACAGGAAACTTCAAATTCTGTTAAAAAAAAAACCAGGGAGAAGTTTGAACGCGACGATAAGTGTACCTATCTATTCCTATTGTGGAAAAAAATAGTAAAAACTTCAAAGTATGGGAGGAGACGGTGGAAGTAGAATTTAGAAGGAAGCGAAAACTCAATCTTAAACAGGAAAGAAGGAACAAACATCTACTCCTGTTTGGGGAGGAGCGTAAACAGGGCGATAGGATAACTATAGTGACGCAATCTCATCACGATATTTTGGCCTCATTGTGGATTATCAAAGTATTCTTGATATTTTATCTACCGTTAATGGTAATTAGGTTGAATATAATTGCTTATTGATGGCGTATCTAGCACATTAAGAGGCCAGGTTATCTTGAATAAATTATTCGTTGTTATTCTTAGATATTCATTGAACTCATTCTCGGCTACCATTATTATCAGTGCTGTATGCGTGTTTATCAATTTCTTTTAGGCATCTGTTTTATTCAAGTCGTTCTGGATCGTGTGCCCAGTAAGAGGTTGTCAAGTCCAGATTAGTTTTGAATGTGTTCTATAAACTCAGTTTTATTCATACCTAGTTTTGTATTTCTCGCCTTAAGGTTATCAATAGCTATGTGAAGAGTCAGTTGGCCAAGTGTTTAAGCCGACCTTGTACGGATTTCAATGCTATTCTTTTCTTTTCTAAGCAAAGTGAATGTTGGGTATAATTTGGAATCAGCTGTTCATTGGTGTACGCGTTTCGTCCTTTAGGACTTCATCGGACTAAATTTGTTATGTTGGCGTGACTTATACATGCGCACAAACCAAGGATGCTGGGTTTTTATGATTTTTTTAAAAAATCTAACCGATTTCATTTAGATTAAAAAAAAAGTATCTGATTTCGTCTAGATTTAAAAAAAAAATAGTTTAAGTTTCCCAGCATCCTTCATTCGTGCGCATGTGCAATCGTATCAACGTAACAAATTTAGTCAGATGAAGTCCTAAAGAACGAAACGAGTCACAAGAAACTTTTCACCTTTGTCATAAACTTTTGCATGATAACCAAACTGTAAGGGTTTCAATTCTCGGTAGTGGATGCGCACTGATGATGAGACCCAAATATAGGATGAAATGCTTTCTGCATTCTGTTGAGGTTTCTTTCAGACTCGATGAATTAATTAATTATAATTATCAAATTGTCCTAATAATTTCTATCACACACACACACACACACACACACATATATATATATATATATATATATGTATATATATATATACAATAATTGATAGATTTTTTTGTTAATGATATTTTTAGGTTTATTTTTTTATATTTCGGATCATTTTCTTGGTTTCCAGTAAGTATAAATTATCCAATATCTGAACAATATCGGCTTTTATATTACATTATCAAATAGGCTTTTTGTGCTCTATCGGTTTCATCAACTTAAGATAGGGCAGTTCGTGTTGTCAACTCGTCTTTTTTTTTTTTGTTAATAAAGTATATGACATTTTAATGATGTTGTGTTGATTGTTTTTGTAATTTCTGCTTTTGTCGTCGTCGTTTTTTTTTCTCTACAATTTTTGGGATATAGTATCTTTGCGCTGCTGGTCAGATTTGGTTGGATGCATTGTTTTGTTTTACTGTTACGTCGGTTTATGACAGGAGATTGAACTGTATCATTATCCAATAAATGCCATGTTAGTCGGTGTGATAATATAGTCGTAGTGTAACGAAATTATACGTTATTATTTTTAAGGAAATATTCTCAAAGCGAAGACAACATTGGTTTATCGAAGTTCTGATTTTTTTTGTAGTATCGTTGATGGTGATCATATTAGAAGTTCATATTTTGTAATAAACGATTATATATATATATATATATATATATATATATATATATATGTGTGTGTGTGTGTGTGTGTGTATGTATGTGTGTGTGTTTATTATGTAGTGTTACATTAGAATATGCACATACCCACTACAAAACTGTACATCTTATTTCAACCTTAAACATTTCTTTAACGTTTCATCAGGTGGGAGATCACGATGCTAGCAAAATATTTTATTCCGAAATGCAGTTAACGAAGCACATCATCCACTTCCGTCATTGGAAAGTTTCCCATAAAAGGTAAAAAAAAAAAAAGAATTTATATGTAGAGAAAGAAAGGAACCTATTGTAAATAATATCTATCTATCTAGTATATATTTGAATTAATTATCAAATAAAGATCAAATATGACTGGGAATGAAAAATAAAGAACAACTAAGAAACGTTTATCAATCTAACATGTTTCACTTTTATTAAAGCTTTGTCAGAGATTGAAAGAAAACAGGCGAAAAAGAAAGAAACAGGTTTATTCTAATTGGGCAGTCACATGCATAAAAACCGTAGATAATTCTATATCTATGTAAGTTCGTGAAGATTCTTGTATGTCTAAGTAGGCATCGGATGGTAATATTTATTCGTAATTGTGTATACGTATCTGGCTAGTGGAAGTTCTAATGTCTTCACCTTTGTGTGGCCACATCATTCTAATTTATGCCTGATCTCTTTAAGCATGTATTGTTTGTATTGGATATAAGTAAGATTCTTTAGAAATGGATTCGAAGAAAGATGGAGATGTAATGTTTTACGCATGTGCATTAAGAATTAAAATTATATATATATATATATATATATATATATATATATATATATATAATTCTTGATGCAGCAGCATCATTTATTAGTCGAAAAACATTGAACGCAAGTTTGTGAGAATAAAATTTTCGATAGCCTTATGACACGTCAATAAATATCTTTATCAGTTGATTAAAGTTTAAAAGAGGGAAAAGAGAAAAAGACGTATTTTCATTACTATTGTTTTTTTTTCTTCTTGTTTTTACTTGATATTTTGTTCAGATTAAAGCAAAAAAAAAAAAAAAAAATACTCGGAAAGTAATAGGTTGACCAGGAATAAAAATGCACGTGTCTATCTTCTTTTTTTTTTTTTTTTTTTTTTAGCCCCGGCCTTCATCAAACCAGTTTTCGTCTGTATCTCAGTTCTCATTTGAATTCTCGTGAGAAGAGATCTGATGAACACTTATTAGTTGTGTGCGCTGTGAATAATTCATGTTTGTCGTACCTCCCAGAATAGCTCAACTTCGATCCAGAAATGGGGGCATTGCTATAGAGACGAAGCCAAAATAGCAAATGGCACATTTACACCTAAAAGTGAACACATATAAGAAAGGAAGAGGACGACAACCAAACATGGTTTTAAACACACACACACACACACATACACACATACACACACACACACACTTATGTATATATACACACACGCACACATTTTTATATAAATATATGCACGCACACACACATACACACACAGTGATTAATAAATATATATATATACACAGAAACACATTTACATATATACACGCATACACACATTTATATATATATGCACACAGACATTTATAATATATATATATATATATATACATACACACATTTATATATATACTCGTACACACATACACATTTATATATATTTATACACACATGCACACACATTTATACACACACACACACACACACACACACACACTTTATTAAAGTAATTCTAATACATTTATTTGTTTTAGTTATCAGTGAAAATGAATACCCTACCACCCCTTGTTAAAATGATTAAATTTCCCCGTATTAATTAATATAATAAGAATTTCATGTAAATATAATATATATATATATATATATATATATATATATATATATATATATATATATATATATATATAGAGAGAGAGAGAGAGAGAGAGGAAGAAAGGTTGTCTTCTGGTGACAGTCACCAAAACTTAAACTGCGTCTTTACAATTAAAACATTCCCAGTTGACAAAGAACGTTCTTGCAAGTTTGCTGAATTTTCCTTGCAACTTTGCTGAATTTTCCTTGCAACTTTGCTGATAAGTATTATTTTTAGGGGATATATAACGTTGAGGCGTGGTAACTGGGGGAGTTTTAGAAACCATGTAAAAAAAGAAGAAAAGGACACTTATATTTAATATCAGAAAGAGAAATCTTTAGGGCATATAACGAGGAAAGAATGCTTAGAAATTGAAGCAGATTGAAGGGAAAAAAGACAAAGGAAAACAACGTATAACCTACCTAGCGAGCTTGAGTAAATGGATGGCGGAACAATGTTTAGGGGAGATAACAAAAGTCAAAATTTTGTTAAGAGCTACAAAAGACGGGAAATTATGGAGGGCCATGATCGTCAACGCTCAATAGAAGAAGAAGAAGAAGAGTACATATCACATTTTTAAGCACTTTTGTTAGCTTCAGTAAAGGAATATATATACCAGTGAGTCGACTCTTACACAGTGTTTTGTATTTGTTTAGCGAAAGTTAAATCCGAACTAAGTCGTCAAAGAATACTTTCCATCCACGCTGTTGACACTAAGTTTTCCAGTTATAAGAAAGAAAGCGGATTAAATCCCGTTACTAGACCAAAGTGTGTGCCAGTTATAAAGGAAGGCTTAGTTTTGTTCATTTAAAATAGCACACAACACACGTGTACACGTGTTTGTGTTACACAGGCATACACATACATGTATTTGTTTACGATGCGTCGTTAGGTAATGATTAGTGAGGATAGTTTGACTAGTGAGTTCGCTTTTCACTGAGTGCCCTACACAAAGTTCGACATTAATACTCTAACAAAGGTTGACGTGTGGTAAAACCAAGCAAGTTCGTCTGGTAGAGGGCTAAAGTGATGGATTTAGCCTGTATCAATTGAGCAGGACTCCGTGGTTGGCGCACATATTCACATTGTTCAGCTTAATGCAGAGCAGGGATAACATTAGATTGAATTCGCTATACGAACGAATGAATGATCTTCGAAAATACTTCGTTCATGAGAGTGCTATGGTTTATTCTAGTCTGGCACAGGGCTTCTGGTGACGAGCGACATTACGAACAGACAAATTTTCTAAATGTTCTGCAACAGCGTTAGTGCTTGTACAAATGTACAAATGTATAGAAACGTTTCTTCTTCTAGTGTTCGCATCCCTTCAGGACGTTGGTGATCAAGGCTCTCCACAACTTCCTATTTATTGTAGCAATGTTTACCTTTTGACCCATATTTTTGCACACATATTTCAAGTACAATCATGTCTTTATCTATGATTAGATAGATAATATGTATTTTGGCAGGTACTATGTGAATGTCTGGGAGGGGGTGGTTTTGTGGTTGATTTGATATCGGCTATTGAAATATTGGTTTTTAACTGGGCTCAGTCATTCAATTATCAAGTATATCGGAGAGATGCATACGTATCAATATATATAGGCAGCCATATGAGCACATCGAGGCGGTGTAATGGTTAGCAAGTTTGTCTCGCTAGAAGTATTATGGCTGAGTAGTGAGTTGGAGGAGGCACGGTGGAGTAATGGATAAGCGGCTTGGATTGAGGAATCGGAGAGCCGAGTTCGAATTCTAGTCGAATCCATTGCATTCACTTACGTGCTAACACCCTTGGGAAAGGTGTGAATCCTCTTTCTTCTCCCTCCAGCTATGGGTCAATAGCAGGACAGACTGGGTTCTATGGATGGCAACTGGTCTAGGAGAAGGAAAACTCTGAATTCAAAATTCATTAATTTTTTAAAACGTTATTTTTTTAAATGGATAAAATATTTGATAGCCTAGATGCTCTGACAAGATTATTACACCAATTTATTTGAGTTCAATCTCGACTGATGATATGATCGATATTTCACTGGGTTACATCTTTCGGCCTGAATATTCGAGAAGCAGCTATATGTAAATTAAAATAGAAAAAGCGACCTCAAAATGAAACAGACACAAAAATAAATAAGAAAAAAAAAAAAAAAAAGTTTCTTCAGATAATTCATTAATTTGTTTAAACCAAAAATGGATTCATATTTGAGTAGAACTGATTTATTTATTAAATGCTATATTTAAGAATCTACCGGGCCTGAATATTCGAGAAGTCTTGATAAAAAAGTGGCAGGAAAAAAATAAACAAAAAAAAAAAAAAAAAAAAAAAAAACGACCCCACCAAAAAAAACTAAAAAACAGATTGATAGATAGAGAGATAGATAAATAGATAGTTAAGAAAGAGATAGGTAGACAGATAAAAAGTGGATAAAAAGATTAAGATAGATAGATAGATAGATAGATAGATAGATAGATAGATAGATAAAAACAAAGTCGGTGAGTCGGATTATTCAACTTATCTTGAAAAATAAAATCTCCATTTATGTTTATTATTTTCTTTCCTTTTCGTTATTTCGCAGCTAAAGATATGAACTATGTTGGCGACATCAGTGCAATATTAACACTTCATCCGATGCTGACCATTAAATCAGCACCCTGACATTTTCTAAGACCTACGATAGTGATGCACTCATGGACTCACGTGTGTTTCTCCCTATCTAGTCCGTGCACACGCGCGAAACATATGTGATGTCATCAATCGAAAAATGCGTGCAAAATGCTTCCTTTGTCTACACAAAGAGAAAAACACAATGCGTTTGGAAAGAAAACGAATTGCAGTATTAAAATGTAACATTGAGTTTATCAAATATAAGTATTTTATGTCAAGGATGGATGAGAAAAAAATAAGAAAAGAAATACTACAGTGAAACTAAATTGTAACTGCCAACGGTATGAGAGGCAACGAGGAATGGAAAATGTCGTCGGGATTGAATTCTACATGACAAACTCAGTTGAAAACGGCTAAATGGTGGGTGAGAAGGACGGATAACTCTGTAGCTGTCTATATTTCTGAGATGAGGTATCATGTACACTATTTACATTATTCGGACTATTGTCCTCATCTTTGTCGCCATATTTATTCCAACGTTTCGGCCACAAAAATCTCCTGAGCCGACCAAGCATAGAAATGAATACAATATGGGAACCAGTAATAAGGAGTGTCAGAGAAAAGCGATAATAACAAAAAAATTGCAATATGAGCTCTGATAAAAATATGTTGATAACAGCAAAATTGCAATATGAGAACTGGTAAAAAAAATGATTGCTGAAGACATTATGTTTATAATACCCAGAAATTCATACAAGGATGCATGGCTTAGTGGATAAATGCGTTAGTTAGGTCCAGTGACAGGACCCAAAGAGTGTGAGTTCAATACCTGTTTAAGGCGGTGCAGAACTTGGAGAGGGGGAATTAACAATTAAGAGGAGATAACAGGATAATTAACTGGGAATTAACAGGAGATAACCGATAACTGACATGGCACGTGGAATTAGAACAGTCTACACCAGAGAGCGAAATAAAGGGTTTAGTTCGACATTTCAACCACCCGAAGAAGTCTGGAGCGTACAACGGCCGAAACGTTGTAATAAATATGGCGACAAAGATGAGGACAATAGTCCGAATAATGTAAATAGTGAACTCTGTAGCTATTTTGAGAATCGTGCGTGAAAAGTCGCCTTTTTATAATAATTGTTATTATGTCACCATCTCTGAATGTTTTACTATTCAGCCTGGCAAATACTAGGGTTTGTATTTATAAGTAAACTAGTTGTTCTGTTTGTCTCTCTGTCAGTTGGTTGGCTTCATTCCTAGGCAATCTTTATTGTTTGGTTGGCTGAAGGAAGCTCATTGGATGCACGATGAAATTGAGAGTGGTGAATCCAAAAAAAAAAAAAAAAAAAGAAAAACAAGAAGGAAAATCGGCCATCTTATACCTTCTTGTCACAAAAAAAAAGTTGCATCAAAAGAAGGTTTTCCCTTGATGCCGCTATTATTTTAACTACTTTCACTCATCGGCAATGTTTATTGTTTTTACAAGCAATGGTTTGAATTGTAATTGAATTAGGTTTTATTGCAATTCTAATCATCGCTTTTTAAAACAGTAAAGATTGCATAGGAATGAAGGCGGTTAAAATATTAGTGGTGTCAAGGGAAAATCGTCCTTTTGACACACTGTTTTTTGGAGGGCATAAAGATTCAAGATTGCCAGAAAACGGAACAAGAAGAAGTATGAAGACGGAGAAAAAAAAATTAGGAGACGTTATATGCAGTTGTGGGATGAATATAATAATAATAATAATAATAATAATAATAATAATAATAATATCTGCACTGGAAAATATGCAACTTCTTCGGGAAGGAAACTGAAAGAAACTGGTATGAACACCACCCAGACCCGGTTACGGAGATAGGACCTGTTACAATTCTATGGGACTACACAATACACACTGACAGAACAATCAAGGCCAACCGCCCGGATAGTGTTATTAAAGACCACAAACAAAAACGGTGCTTCCTTATTAATATAGCAGTCCCTGCTGACTGCAATGTATCTTTGAAGATATTCAAAAAGTTGTTAAAATACAAGGACCTTGAAATAGAAATCTCGAAAATGTGGCATATGGGAACATCAACAATCCCTGTTGTAGTTGGAGCCCTAGGACTCGTTGGAAAAGATTGCAGTAGACTAATTGAAGAGATTCCTGGAAGCCCATGCCTCAAGGAGATACAAAAAATTGTTCTGACCAGTACAGCCCACACTTTACGAAGGGCTTTATCTATGTAATTTTTTTTTTTTGTCAGTGGAAAGTGTCATGACGCCATTTCTAACCTTAGGTCCCTGGGCGGGATCCGGAAAGAAATGTGTAAACGCCAGAAATCAAAGAAAATAAAAATTAAAATAATAACAACAACTACTGAAAATTGTGTTAACCCGAAATGCAGATTCTCTGATGAATATCCAGTAACAACTGGTTATGTTGTATCGGGTTGCACCAAATATAGAACTCAGCATGAGACATGGTGGTCCAATATCTGAATTGGAAAATCAGCAACTTTTACGGGAAGGAAGAAGCAAGAAATTGGTATGAACACCACCCAGACCCAGTTACAGAGATAGGACTTGTAACAATTTCATGGGACTTTACAATACACACAGGCAGAACAATCAAAGCTAATCCCCCAGACATCGTGATCAAAGACCACAAAAATAGAAGGTGCTTTCTTATTAACATGTTTTTTTTCTACGGACTGAAATGTATCTTTGAAGATCTTTAAAAGCTATCAAAATGCAAGGATCTTAAAGTAGAAATCTAAAAAAAAATGTGGCACATGAAGACATTAATAATTCTAATTGTGATTAGAGTCCTCGGTTTGATTGAAAAGTTTTTGATGGATTCCTTGACGAGATTCCTGGTAGCCCATGTATTAAAGAAATACCTAAAATTATCCTCACAAGTGCAGCTCATATCTTACGAAGGAATTTATCTATGCAAAAGGTGAGAGATTTTAGGTTGTTTCATTTTATTTTGTTTTTATTTTGCAAAAATGTTTAGTGGAAAATATCATAATGCCATTTCCGAACTTAGGTCTCTGGTTGTGACTCGGAAAGAAATTAATATACAGCAGAAATCGAAGGAAATAGTAGTAGTAGTAGTAGTAGTAGTAGTAGTAGTAGTAATAATAATAATAATAGCTCATTAAAATACATACAAATCCCATCTTTAAAAACGTTTGAGAAATACAGTAACTATACGGACATCGAGACTATAAAATTACCTGTTTTTACTGAGGCTTTGGGAATGGAATCAAAAGAAGTAAATAAATATATTGATCATCTGTCTATACTTCTAAAATTGGGTATTGTAACTATTTTCACTGTTTACAGTGGGTAAAAGCGTTGTTTGACGTAACCCCAAAAGTGACTTGACCCAAAGACTAGTGAGTTCAATATCTGGCCACGGTAGAAACGAATAAAAATTTAGAGAGTTGAATGATTAAAGGGAATTAATTGAAATTGAGATATCCAGATAAGGCATGGAATGTGGACTTAGAACAATATATCCCCGTGGGCTAAATAAGGGGTTCGATTCGAAATTCCAAAGTATATATCCTGAAGAAGGCTGGAGCGTACAATGGCTGAAACATCGTGAATATGGCAATAAAGACGAGTACAACAGTCCGAACGATGTAAATAGTGCAAACAAATATATTGATCAAATTCCTGGTAGCCCTGTACCAAATTCACAAACTTGTTGTCTCTTAAAGTCTCATGGGGGGGGGGGCAACACGTACCACACAAAGCAAAGGCAAAATAACTCGTCTCACGAGCACGGCTCACACCTTACAAAGGGTATTATCCATGTGAGTGTTCTTAGGCTGTTTTTATTTTATATGTTTTACAAAAATGTTCAGTGGAAAATGTCATGATGCCATTTCTGACCTTAGGTCGTTGGTTGGGACCCGGAAGGAAATGAGCATACAATAGAAATAATAATAATCATCTGAAAGACACACCTCCATGAAAATTATCGAGACATTTTCCAAATACAAGGACCTGGAGATCGAGATTAACAGAATGTGGGCAATGAAGACTGAGACTGTACCAATAGTAATCGGAGCACTGGTCCTTGTGAGAAAAGGAATGGACAATTTTACTAACAGTGTCCCAGGTAACATCAACTTACAAATTGCCCAGAAGGTCGCCCTACTAGGAACAACCGATATTCTAAGAAACGTGCTATCAATTAAATGACAATTCTCTTATAAGGATTTTGACCATAGTTTTAACCTGGCTCTACAGAATACAAAGCAGGAAACGTAACATGCACAATTAATAATAATAATAATAATAATAATAATAATAATAATAATACTTAAAAATGAAAGCAAAGACAAATGCAACCGATCAAATACAGAAACAATGGCAAGATAAACCGCTTCATGGCCAATACTCTGCTCGTACCAAACAAGCTGACGTGGACAAAACCCGTACCCATCAGTGGCTACGTAGTGCATGGCTGAAAGCTGAAACTGAAGGTTTTATCCTTGCTGCATAGGACCAATGCTTGTTAACTAGGAATTATCAAGCACATATACTAAAATATTGTGTCAGCCCAAAATGCAGATTCTGTGATAAATATCCAGAAACAATTGATCATCTTGTATCAGGTTGCACGATATTAGCACCCACTGAATATAAAACCCGACATGACTGAGTAGGCCAATATCTGCACTGGAAAACTACGGGAAGGAAACTGAAAGAAACTGGTATGAACACCACCAAGATCCGGTTACGGAGATAGGACCTGTTACAATTCTATGGGACTACACAATACACACTGACAGAACAATCAAAGCCAACCACCCAAACATTGTTATCAGAGACCACAAACAAAAACGGTGCCTCCTTATTGATATGGCAATCCCTGCAGACTGCAATGTATCTTTGATGATATTCAAAAAGCTATCAAAATACAAGGACCTTGAAATCGAAATCTCAGAAATGTGACACATGGGAACATCAAGAATCCCTGTTGTAGTTGGAGCCCTAGGATTGGTTGGAAAATATTCTAGTAGACTAATTGAAGGAATTCTTGGAAGTCCATGCCTCCAAGAGATATAAAAAATTGTTCTGACCAGTACAGCCCACACTTTACGAAGGGCTTTATCTATGTAATTATTTTTTTTTTTTTGGTCAGTGGAAAGTGTTATGATGCCATTTCTAACCTTAGGTCCCTAGGCGGGACCCGGAAAGAAATGTGTAAACGCCAAAAATCAAAGGAAATAAAAATAATAATAATAAAATTGTGGGAAAATATGATGAAACTGTCCACCTAATTATCTGAGGATATCCAGAATTAGCAAAAAATGACATAAAACGTAGCAACATATAGACACTGGAAGATATGCAAGAAGCACAAAATCGAAACCACTGAGAGATGGTATAGCCACCAATTAGACACGGTTACCCAAAATAACGATGTAACTATCCTTGGGGACATGCCAATTCAAACTGACAGGGAAATAAAAGCTAACAGACCTGATATTATAAAAGTCAAGACATTGAAGAAGTGTATGCTTAATGACATAGCAGTACCATCTGAGAGAAACCTCTCCATGAAAATTATTGAAAAATTGCCCAGTTAAATGACAATTCTTCTTTAGGATATAAAACAGGAAACATAACAGACACAAATAATAATAATAATAATAATAATAATAATAATAATAATAATAATAATAAGGACTTGGAGATCGAGATTAACAGGATGTGGGGAATGAAGACTGAAACTGTACCAATAATAGTTGGTTCTCTGGGAGATGGCGGGAAATACAATGGACAATTTTACTAACAGTGTCCCAGGTAAGATCAACATACAAGTTACCCAGAAGATCGTCATACTAGGAACATCCCACATACTCAGAATAATGATATCAATTAAATTTGTTATCCTATAGGCCTAAAGATCATAGTTTGGACCCAGCTCTACAGGATACAAATAATAATAATAATAATAATAATAAGGACTTGGAGATCGAGATTAACAGGATGTGGGGAATGAAGACTGAAACTGTACCTAGATTGGTTAACCTGGGCCTCAGGAAATACAATGGACAATTTTACTAACAGTGTCCCAGGTAAGATCAACCACAAGTTACCCAGAAGATCGTCATACTAGGAACATCCCACATACTCAGAATAATGATATCAATTAAATTACTGTTATCCTATAGGGCCTAAAGATCATAGTTTGGACCCAGCTCTACAGGATACAAATAATAATAATAATAATAATAATAATAATAAGGACTTGGAGATCGAGATTAACAGGATGTGGGGAATGAAGACTGAAACTGTACCAATAAAGTTGGTTCTCTAATAATGGAAACCAATGGACAATTTTAGTGTCCCAGGTAAGATCAACATCAAGTTACCCAGAAGATCGTCATACTAGGAACAAATACAATGGATCAATTAAATTTGTTATCCTATGGGCCTAAAATAGTTTGTCAGCTCTACAGGATACAAATAATAATAATAATAATAATAATAAGGACTTGGAGATTTCAATTAGGATGTGGGGAATGAAGGAAACTGAATTCTCTGGGATCGTCAATGGACAATTTGGATAACAGTGTCCCAGGTAAGATCAACATACAAGTTACCCAGAAGATCGTCATACTAGGAACATCCCACAACTCAGAATAATGATATCAATTAAATTACTGTTATCCTATAGGGCCTAAAGATCATAGTTTGGACCCAGCTCTACAGGATACAAATAATAATAATAATAATAATAATAAGGACTTGGAGATCGAGATTAACAGGATGTGGGGAATGAAGACTGAAACTGTACCAATAATAGTTGGTTCTCTGGGCCCGGCGGGAAATACAATGGACAATTTTACTAACAGTGTCCCAGGTAAGATCAACATACAAGTTACCCAGAAGATCGTCATACTAGGAACATCCCACATACTCAGAATAATGATATCAATTAAATTACTGTTATCCTATAGGGCCTAAAGATCATAGTTTGGACCCAGCTCTACAGGATACAAATAATAATAATAATAATAATAATAAGGACTTGGAGATCGAGATTAACAGGATGTGGGGAATGAAGACTGAAACTGTACCAATAATAGTTGGTTCTCTGGGCCCGGCGGGAAATACAATGGACAATTTTACTAACAGTGTCCCAGGTAAGATCAACATACAAGTTACCCAGAAGATCGTCATACTAGGAACATCCCACATACTCAGAATAATGATATCAATTAAATTACTGTTATCCTATAGGGCCTAAAGATCATAGTTTGGACCCAGCTCTACAGGATACAAATAATAATAATAATAATAATAATAATAAGGACTTGGAGATCGAGATTAACAGGATGTGGGGAATGAAGACTGAAACTGTACCAATAATAGTTGGTTCTCTGGGCCCGGCGGGAAATACAATGGACAATTTTACTAACAGTGTCCCAGGTAAGATCAACATACAAGTTACCCTGAAGATCGTCATACTAGGAACATCCCACATACTCAGAATAATGGGAACTCTACAGGATACAAATAATAATAATAACAGTAAGGTGGAGATCGAGATTAACAGGATGTGGGAATGAAGGAATAAACCAATAATAGTTGGTTCTCTGGGCCTGATATGGGAAATACAATGGACAATTTTACTAACAGTGTCCCAGGTAAGATCAACATACAAGTTACCCAGAAGATCGTCATACTAGGAACATCCCACATACTCAGAATAATGATATCAATTAAATTACTGTTATCCTATAGGGCCTAAAGATCATAGTTTGGACCCAGCTCTACAGGATACAAAACAAACATACATGAATAAAATAATAATAATAATAATAATAATAATAATAATAATAATAATAATAATAATAATAATGTGAAATTGAAAATAATTATAATAATAATGAATTAAAAAATGAACAAAAAACACATTGAAAAAATCCTGAATCAGCTTAAGAGAAAATACAAAGACCTGGAAATTGAAATAGAAAAATGAATGATGATGAAATTGAAAACAAGAATAATACCAGTGGTAATAAATTGAATTGGAATTATAAAAAATGGAACATTAAAACAACACATTGAAAGAATCCTGAAACCCCAGAAATAAATCTTCTTCCCTTGAGACATAATAAAAATAAAATTAAAGTATGAACAGCGCCGGTTACAGAAATAGAAGATGTCACCATTGATGGGATTATACCATCCACACAGACACACTAAGGAGAAAGAAACTTTGTCTAATGTGGCTTGTCTAGATTATTAAGATAGCAACCAAGGAATTTGAAAACATCGGAGAAATAGAAAAAAAAAAAAAAAAAATTAACATGAAAAATGAAACAAAACAACACATTGAAACATTAAGAGACCACGACCTGAGAACTTAGGTCTTTCCGAAAAAAAAAAACTTGGTAAGGTAGTGTGTGAAGAGGGTCTTTCCGAAATCATTAGAAATCGAATGATGATGATGATGACAATAATAATAATAATAATAAACAAACTTTCAAAATATAAGGACTTGGTTTAGAAACTGCAAAAATGTGGCATTTAAATACAACCACTATTCCAGTAATAATAGGAGCACTATGAATGTTTTAAAAAGAATAATGATATAAACAAGCAGAAACATTCAGGAAACCTTACAGTATATGAGGCACAAGACATTGTATTAATGTGCATCGCTCACATATTCAGAAAAGAAAAAAAATCCAATGCATTAAGCTAAGGTAACCCCCCCCAACCCCCCAAAAAAAACCTTTCTCATTTAAAAAAAAAAAATAAACTTGATAATGAATGAATTGTATCAAACAGCAAAGCATAAAACAACAACAGCAACAACAACAATAATAATAATGAAATGACAGTGACGATGATAATGATAGTCGTAATGGTGTATCAAAAGAAGAGAGAGATAAAAGAAAATGATTATGGTTGTGAGATAGAGAGGAAAATGAAAAGAACATTATGATAATATTGATGATGATGATTATATTGATGATGATGATGATGATGATGATGATGATGATGATGATGATGAAAGAAGAAAACAATCAAGTGAAGAAAGAAAGAAAGAAAGAAAGAAAGAAAGAAAGAAAGAAAGAAAGAAAGTACAAATATTTGGATTGAAAGAGAAAGAAAGAATAAAAGAAAAAGAAAACGGAAGCACGAACAATAATGAAAGGATGAATGAAGGAAAAAAAAGAACGAAAAACAAAAAATGATAACAATAACATTATAATAAAATGAAAACGGCGAAATAATATAAAAGAAGGAATGAATGAAAATGGGGAAAATTATGAATAAACGTAAATAATCAGTAAGCGAAGGAAACAGAAAAAAGAACAATAAATGAGGAAAAGGAAAAAGGGAAATGAATGAATAAAAATGTACAAATAAATGAAAGAAAGAAAAAAAAAATAAAAGAGAAAAGGAATATGGATAGGCAGAAATCCAGATAAGAAAAAAATAAATTGCGAGCAAATGACAAAAATATAGAAAAATCGCGAAAAAGTAAGAAAAAAAGTAATTAACTAATTAAAGAAAGAAAAAAGAAAGAAAGATTGGATTAAAAACAGAAAGGAATAAGATCGAAATAAAGTTTTGATGAAGTTACAGCAATGGAAACGAACTCTGAGTGGGGGGGGGTGATAAAACGTAACACAAAAAAGAACAAACGAATAAGATTAATTAATCGAAAGAAAGAAGGTAAAAAGAAAAAAAGAAAGAAAGAAATAAAGTAAGAAAGAAAGAAAGAAAGAATTAGATGGAAAAGCAATAAGACTGAAAACGAGAAAAAGCGAAAGAAGCCGTGGCAATGTAAGCGAGTTCTGACAACAGACCAGCTGCTCTCAAACCGGAAATGGACAGCCTCCAATAAAGCTAATGTTTATTTCTTTCTTCTATTGATTGTTTTCCCTCCAGCACAACTTGAATTGGTTTATCTTTTTTTGCCTGCCCCCCTCTCCACTCTATCCGTATATATATATATATATATATATATATATATAAAAAGTGTGTGTATATGTATGTGTATGTGTGTCTATTCGGGGGTGCATCTTTCTCTTAGCATAATAATACGTTTAGAGGATATACAAAAATACGAATTGATAGGACTGATAATCAGTTTTTTTGGTTCGATGGGAGTGTGTTGGTTATATCAGTATCTATAGTACTTAGGTCGTGTGTGCACGTGTTTCGTAGATCTGAACCTAGTCTGCCACAAGGCAGTTCTAGCAGAACACTCGTTGAAGAACAAAATTGCGAGCATTCGGTATTCACTCAGCTGGGCCCTTAGTAGCTCAAGGTAAATTGAAACAAAATTCAAATGTTTTGCGTCAATGTTTCAACTGAAATGAACCACTCAGGACCATCTTTAGTTTAGACTGGTTAATTTAACCACATAGTGCATCCTGGGTATGACGATAAATTACATCCGCGTCCAGGGTGAGACGATAAACTATATCCGCGTCCTGGGTATGGCGATGAACTACGTCCAACAGCAAGGCCTCTGATCAGGATGTTTTGAGGAGCATAGAACCCCCTATTAATTGCTGGTGTTCCTAGGTCCACCCTGACCCACGGTGGTAGTACCAGTTAGGGTCCCAGCTATGGGCAAATAGTTAACATCCAAACTTGTGTGAAAACACTAGGAAAGTGTAAAAATAGGTTTTAGTACCAGAAATACTATTTTGTAAAAAATTAGTATTACCAGCAATACATTTTTGAAAAAAAATTACCAGCAATAAACATTTCAGCATTAAATAACCCATTGAGGTTGATATACCGTAAAACAAATCAAACCAAACCAAATAAGTTATACATTTTTGAATAGATTTGTGAAGAAAAAAATATTACCAGCAATACATTTTTGAAGGGTAAAAATTACCAGCAATAAATATCTTGTCGGCATTAAATAACCGATTAAGGCTGATAAGCGGTAAACCAAACCAGATCAAACCAAACCAAAGATATAGCAGAACTTGTTGAATTATTTAACATCGAATTAAAACTCACAGAATAGAAATTACGAAAGTTTAAACAGAAAATAAGACTTAGGTCCGGTTTAAGGCAAACGTTAGAAATTGGTCCGCTCATACACTATAATAATCAAATAGACACAGATCCAGGTAGACATTAATCCAGTATACACTATAATCGATAATGGTATCCAAAACTTCTAGTAACCGATTCTATAAAGTTATGTAATCTTTAGAAATCTATTCTGCTTATTTTCTTTTCAATCTGAGAATGGAAACAAATCACTTTATAGTACAAAAAAATAATTAAACCATTTTATTAATTCAATAGAAAACATTTATTTATTAAGATATTTCCAGATAGAAATTCTGTTCAGAAGTATGATACGCTTTTGCTCTAGTGTCATCATCAGTGTCATGGTTTCTTAGCCACATTCGAATTGAATCGCTTCAGTGCTAAAGATTCAATAGAAGAGTTATTAAATTTATGATTAGAAAATTTGCCACATTTTTAACTTCAAGACGATTTCTTTTGTCAAAATATATTATGTTCATCACAGAAAACCCGCTTTCAGCCCCCGCAGAACTTACAGCAATGGTATTAATTATATTTTTAGCTATTATATATCGGCTATTCATATATAAGATTATTTTCGGATAATCCAACAAAAGTGGTTGTTGTATTATCCGGAAATAATTTTACATTTTTGAATAGATTTTTGAAGAAAAAATATTACCAGCAATACATTTCTGAAGGGGAAAAATTACCAGCAATAAATATCTTGTCGGCATTAAATAACCCATTGAGGTGTTGATATGCCGTAAAACCAATCCAAACCAAACCAAAGATATAGCAGAACTTGTTCGATTATTTAACATTGAATTAAGATTCACAGAACAGAAATTACAAAAGACTGAACAGAAAGTATGAGTTAGGTCCGGTTTAAGGCAAAAGTTAGAAATAGGTCTGCTATACAATTTTAAGAATCGGTTCGCGCGAACCATTGCGAACCGGTAGGATGCCACCATTGACTATAATAGTCAAATAGGTAGAAACAGATTTAATTTACATTAGTGTACAAAAGCTAGACATGAGTCCAGGTTATACTAGAACTTGTAAGTATCCACTCGTAAGGTGACTTCTTCTGTGGCAGGATGCAGTCGGTGTACTATAAGTCCAGTCGGCAAGACAAACTGATTTTTCTAATAGTGGAGCACTCCGTGTCGATTGAACTTACGACAAATGACGTGAGTGACTGACCGTCGATCTACAGCAGCCTTCCTCGATGTTTATCAGGATTATATTGATCTGGCACAAAGGATGCAACATAGTGACACCCAGTGAGAATCTTAGTCGCAAGTCAATTTGGTAAGCGTTATTTTGCAGCCACTACGCAGTACATCTCTGACAACAAAATAAGGCTTATGGCCACATCATGTTCAAACATCCGTTCCCGTACGATCACCGAAGTTAAGCAATGTTGTGCCTGATCAGTACCAAGATGGGTGACTGCTTGGGAATACAAGATGCTGTATGCTTGGATGTGCGGGTGATGTAATAGATAATGTCTCGGAATTCTTCATCGGAGAGCCGAGTTCTAATTCCCGCTTGATTCTTTATATTCGCTTACGAATACTCTTGAGAAAATTATGAATCCACTTCTTCGCCTCCCAGGTATGGGTTAATTAGTAATATTTGTATTACTAAATCATTATTATCTCCAAAAGTAAATAAAATTGCGTACAAAATATTTAGATTCATGCATCGTCCGTGCATTGAATTCTGTTGCCATATATGGTCTGCTGCCCCCGCTATTCATCTGGAGGTTCTCGACAAAATCTAAATACGGATATGCAATATGATAGGTCCTGACCTGGCATCTCAACTCCAGTCAATAGATGATATAAAACCTATTAATTGACTATACGTGGGCACCTCGAGTCGGTGTAATGGTTAGCAAGCCTGTCTCGCTAAAACAGTTACGACTGAGTATTGAGTTCGATCCTTACTCGGTGCCCCCTATTTTCGGCCTAGCGCACGACTCGGAGTTCATGCAAGCATGTAATTTTCGGGTGTAAAATATTCACTGATCATTAAAGCGTTTTGAAATTTGCGTTCTGGTGGCATTGATTTAAAATTGTGATAAGATTTGTTTATCTTATTATTGTTGCCTATAATATTATAATTTATTATTTATAATTTAAATCGGTCGAATTTTTATGTTCGAAAGACTAAAATTTAAAAATTGACCCCGATTAAAATAGATTACAAAATAGATTTTACAAATATTATTATTATTAATACAATATGTAACACCTATTAATATTCATAGAATCCATTATTAATAGCATTTTTTTGTATATCTATACACATATAATTATAGGTTAGGTTATACATTAGATATATAGTCTTAACTTATAAACAACGGGAGTGCTAAGTTTATTCCATATGACTTTTTACATTAATAATATATAAGGACGGTTAAAAACGGAACAAAAAAAAGAGAGTTATTCCCCTTTGATATATAGCATGTTTACAGAAATGCATTTTTTTTTTAAATTATCTAAACTATTTTGTTTTAACTTCTCGTCTTAAGAACTTACGAATTCGAACGATATAAATTAGAAATAATTAATTGTAATATTTTCGCCAACAATAATAAGATAAACAAGTCTTAATACCCAATTTTAATTCAACACCACGAGAACGCGAATTTCATAACGCTTCAATGGTCAGTGAGTATTTTGCACCTGAAGATTGCGTGTTTGCGTGAAACTCCGAGTCGTGTTATCGACGTGGGATGTTATGCATATTCACAAATATATACTCATAGCTGTGTTATATAAGTTTGAGCACTGTTTTTATAACACCTGAGGAAAAATATACACATGCACGTGCAAGTATATCTGCGTATACGTATGTTTTTTTTTATCATGCTCAGGCATACATACATACATATATATATATATATATATATATATATATATATATATATAAAAGTGAACATAGAATTCAGCACTTAGAGGCGAAAGTCTGTTGAATTTTATGTTCACTTTTATATTTACACACGCTCTATCTCTGATATTGAGCACTTTATCCCATAAATATAGCACATCTTAAGACTATATTTCTTCATATATATATATATATATATATATATATAAAAAAATATAGAATTCAACACTTAGAGGCGACAGTCTGTTGAATTCTATGTTCACTTTTATATTTACACACGCTCTATCTCTGATATTGAGCACTTTATCCCATAAATATAGCACATCTTAGGACTATATTTCTTCATATATATATATATATATATATATATATATATATATATATATATATATATATATATATTTATTTGGCAACTGGCCTAGGAGAAGAAAGACTCTAAATTAAAAACTGTGCGTAGCTCTGACGATGTCCATGTGATGCAGTTATGGAAAGGATCGTTGCATTGACTTGATGATCCCGACTACAGTCGACTTCTTTTTCTTGTTTGTTTTTATTTTATTTTATTCATTTAATTTTTTTTTTTTTTTTGCTTAGCCCTAAGTTTAACTTTTTTTCGCATAAAATTAATTTAATTAGTTTCCCATTATTTTTATATTTCACATTAAAATCTGCAAATTGAAAATCTGGAATATGAACTTTTATCCCCCACCCCTGCAAAAAAAAGCTGATAGAATGATGAAAAAAATGTAATATTTTGATTTGAAAAAGTAAACTCTGCTTTTGAGGTCCATTCAATTATGTTTACATTATATAATATTATTGCAGAAACCATACGATAATGGTTTCTATGACATTTTACTGAGTAGCCTGGTATTGTGATTGTCCTACGTCCAGTGGCGTTAACCAGTTAAAAAATATATATATTTGGGATGGGCTTATGATTAAAAAAAAGAAAAAAAAAGAAGAAAAACATTAGGGAGTGTGAGTAGGGTATAGTAGTAAGGATTGTGCAGACCGCCCCCAGAGTCCTTAGAGAAACCTTCCTTAATGTCTACCCTTACCTCTCCTCTGTCACTCCGACCGGAGATTAGAGAACGCAGCCGGGTTACAATAAAACGGATGATACTGACACCTTAGCACATGGACGGGGGATAGCGTAGCGGGATGGAGGCACGAGAAGGAAATGTTCACCATAATGGCAGCAATAATAATAATGGCAGCAATAATAATAATAATAATAATAATAATAATAATAATAATAATAATTCATAGATATGCAGGTTCACCAGATGTCTGGTAGTTATCGCTGGAGACCAATTGACAGCAAGTCTACCCAGACCCCTAACGCCTTTCTTAGTATCCTCACAGGCCGTAACACTAACAGTTTCTTCTTCTTCTTCTTCTTCTTCTTCTTCTTCTTCTTCTTCTTCTTCTTTCCTGCATCTTCGTTATCTTTACTTTCTTCCTTCTTGCTTCATCTTCTTCTTTCATCTTGTTTCGTATCATCATCATCCTCATTTCTTCTTCTTCTTCTTCTTCTTTGGTTTGTGTCCCTTCATGACGTAGGCGATTAATATTCTCCACACTTTCCTGTCCTTTGTAGCTTTTAATAAATGTCTTTTTCTTATTTTTCCTAAACCCTATTCCCACATCTATTTACCCAAGCTCACTAAGTGTATTATGCGCTGATTCCCTCTGTCCCTCTTGCTTTCAATCTGTCCGGTGAGTGTCAGATTTTCCAAGCCATTTTTCCTCATTATGTGACCTAGAAATTTCAACTCTCTCTTTCTGCTGTTAAGTATAAGTGTCCTTTTTGTTCCCATTTTCTCTAAAGCTTCGTCGTTGCTCACATGTTCGGTCCATGGTCCAGTGACCTCTCGATTTCCGACACCTCAAGTATATTCTTCATCCGCGAGGAAATTGTCCAGCATTCACTGCCATACAGAAGGACTGACATTACATAACAGTTCAGTACTCTTCTCTGTGTTTCTAATATTTTCCTCTTTCTTAATACTTTGCTTTGTTTTGTTTTTTAATTCCTCCTTGAATTTCCAGCTCAGCCAATGTCGATATTTTGTGTTTTTAGCACGGATCCAAGCGAAGGTGCGGATAATTTCCAAATTCTTCCTTTTTTCTTTTTTTGGTTATTTTTTTCGTCTTCATCCTGGAGACTGCTGACATGAATTAACATCTGTTCTTCCCAACTGGGCAAGGAAGTAAGGAATTTCAGATTAGCTTATACTTATATTTATAAGTCTATGTTTTGTGAGCATACTATTTATGTATTTCTAAATTTTCTCATTATTAATTGTTGGCTTTCGTTCAGAATCAAGTGACAACACTTTTGCTCAGTATTCGTGACAAATATAATATTGCTGGTTGTGTGAATAATTTCGATTCTAAAACTGATTTCCATGTTTTTTTGCAAGGTTCTTCGGAATAAGTACATGCGTCCCAACAATGAAGACAGAAGTTATCGCCAAATTCTAAAATTCTAGTTTTAACATTTATTCCGCTTTTCAGTCATTTCCAGTTTTATTTTGTGTTTTACTGGAGAAATTGATGACATATTTGTTTCTAGTTTTAATGTTATTAGATTTAAAACCTCGCTCTTGTAGAAGTAAAAATGCACCAGAAGCGAGGTAAGTTGGAATAGAAGAAAGAAAGTGAAAACAAGAATAGCACAGAGAGTAAGACAGAGAGAGAGAGAGAGAGAGAGAGAGAGAGAGAGAGAAAGAGAGAGAGAGAGGTTGGGAGTGAGAGTGAGGGAGAGAGGGAGAAAAAGTGAGAAATAAAGACTAAAACCAATAAAGGAATGAAAAGTTTATGGCTCTTTTCGAAACTTTTTCTTTCCTCTTGTATCTGACACATATTCGAAAAAAAAAAAAGTAAAAAAAAGCGGGAAAAGTATGAGTGGCAGGGGGATAAGATGGCAGCCTAAAACCAATTTTGGAGGAATAATAAGAAAGAAAGAAAGAAAGAAAGAAAGAAGAAGAAGAAGAAGAAGAAGAAGAAGAAGAAGAAGAAGAAAGGGAAACATAAAAAGAAAAAAACGCAAAATAACAAAACACGAAGGGTTGAAGGAATTAGCGGGAAAAAAGAACAAGAATTATATTAATAACAATAACATCGAATGTTCTTTTTTCATAAAACCTTTATTTTTCGAACACATGAAAGTGACGCTAGACTGTACACTTACCAAAATGAAGCTTTGTTTAACTCAATTTGAAAATTCTACAGTTAAAAAGTAAATATGTGGCCATTGCAGTATGATTTTTCCAGGCTACCGAATGTTTACATTTGTAGTACATACAATGGACACTAGGGGGCATTAACCACTTATTATTATAACTATAATAGTATAAAGGATGGAGAGAATTTAGACTGTGTAAACCCCAGCGTTACTTGACCCTGTGATTGAATGATTGATTTTTTTTTACGGTCTATCAACCTTTTGCAAGTTATTTAAAGCCAGAAAATATTTTTATATTTTTTTAGAATTTTTGGTGAATAATAATGATTTATTGATAAAAGTCTTGCTTATTAACTCATAACTGGAGGGGAATAGATTGATTCATGCCTTTTACCAAGGGTATTTGCGCGTAAGTGAATAAAACGAACCGGACTGGAATTGAACTCTCTGATTTCCAATTCTGAGCCGTTATCCATTACACCACCCGCACATCCAAGCTTACAGAACCTGGTATTCCTAAGCGGCCACCCATCTTGGTACTGACCAGGGATGACGTTTCTTAACACCGGCGAACGTATGAGAATCGGTGTTTCAACGTGATATGGTCGTAAGCTCCTTGCTTAGGGCGAAACGATTTAAAAAATTATATAAGCGACTTCTATAATGTATTTTTTTTTAATTTTGAAGACTGCCGCATCACAATCTTCCTACACCTATTTCTTTGGTGTTGGCCTAGTTCTGAATTAAAGTAAGCGTCCAAATATGATTTATATCTGAGTAATTTTTGTATTCCCTATTCATACCAGAGGATCAGAAAGAGACAATTGAAATTTCTAGGGCACATGATGAGGAAAGAAGGCTTGAAGAATATGACACTCACTAGACATGTTGAAGGTAAAACAGGCAGAGGGAAATATCGAGTAAATTATCCAAGGTTCTTGTGTAATTGGACAGCAGAACAGGGACTTCGAAGCATAGTAAGAAGACAAGCCTAGCTTACAGCTCCAAATATGAAGCTGTGGAGACCCGTGATCATATACGTCCTGTAGGGACACAGCCCTTAAAAGAAGAAAAAAGAATTTCAAAGGTTGTTTTTAAAAAACAGGTAAAGCGTTTCCACTGAAAAATTGGCGTAACATATTCTTCCTAACACTATTTTCTCCTTGCTTATCAACAGTAAAATCGATGGCGATAGCAAAAATAAAATTAGAGTAATAATAATTTAATTATTATGACGTTGATAAATTGTTTTGACGGTGACAGTTGTGATGCTGATGATGATGACTCTATGGGTTTTTCCTTCTTCTTGTCCCGCACCCAGTCAAAAGCTCAAAACGTCATCACCATTTTTGCCTTCACCCGCTCTTCCATTTTGAACTTTACTCGTCTCCATGAGAGCAGCATCGTTTCATTTTACCTCTCAAGCCGAAACCTCCAACTTCGCCTTCTTCCTTCTCCTACCCTTTTTCTTTCCTCTTCTTATCATTTTTTTTTCTCAACCCTCGACACATTTTTTTTTTCATTCCATACTCGATTGGTCCCCCCCGGTTCGCTCGAAATGTTAAGTCCCAGTAGGGCAGTTTGGAATGCTCGCCATAGTAATGAAGCATCTGATGAAATGATAGGTTTTGGACGCGTACTGCTCAACCCAGTGTATATTATATGCGCTCGACCGCGTGCCTATATATATATATATATATATATATATATATATATATATATATATATATATATATATATATATATATATATATACCTCTGTTTGTGTACACATCAGTACGCGTACGTCTCTCTGTATGTATGCGCAACAGGGACTAGCTAATCGCACTTGCAGATGGTGTGTTCAGAAAATAAATAGCCGGTCATTATATATATATATATATATATATATATATATATATATATATATATATATATATATATATATATATATATATATATATATATATATATATATATATATATATATATATATATATATATATATATATATATATGTGTGTAAAAATGTACACATGTATGCATTGCATGCGCCTGTATGTATGAGTATGTATGTTTATGCAAGCGTGCCTTCACCTATAAGTGAGCGCGCACTTTAGTTTTACTTTGCGTATGAAAACGTGAAGTTATCCTTCTCAAATGTGCATTTAAGTAATTATACAGACACACATATGTAGATACATCAATAAGTCCGTAGCCTAATGAAGAAAACAAAAACTTTTATTTTCCCCAATACATATTCGGCCACAATATATCCTTTACACTTGGTATTACGGCCACATCACGTTGAAACATTGGTTACCGTAACAGCACCGAAGTTAAGTCAACATCGATCCTGGTTAGTACCTAAATGGGTGACCGTTTGGGAAATACCACGTGCTGTAAGCTTCGGTGTTCAGCTGATGTAACAGATAATGGCTCGGAATTGTTAGCTGGACAGCCGAGTTCTAATTTCAGTTGGGTTTATTATTCACTAACGCGCAAATACACTTGGTAAAGATAAGAATCCGGTTCTTCTTCCCCGGCTAAGGGTTAATTACTAGAACTTGTATCACTAAATCATTATTATTCCCCACCCCCAATTCTTTCAATCAAATGTTATTCCTTCTATTAAACTAGCTGTCAGTCGAGTAGAAAGCCAATTCAATCTGCTATTTAATCCATAGATGCTGGGGGAAGAAGAGGTCCATTCATTCTTTTCCCAAGAGTATTATTGATTGATTGATTCGTTTTTTAAGGCTTATAAACCATTTTCAGGTTATTTAAAGCCAGAAAATATTTTAGATTGTCAGAATTTTTTTTGAGATAATAACGATTTGGTGTTACAAGTCATACTACTTAACCCATAGCTGGGGGTAGAAAAGGCGAATTCATACTTTTTCCAAGGTTATTTCCGCGTAAATGAATATAACGGACGCAACTGTCATTGCAACTCGGCTCTCCGATTAAAAATTGCGAGCTATTACCTATTACACCACCCACACATTCAAGCAGCTGGTATATCCCAAGTGGTCACCCATCTAGGAACTGATCAGGTCCGACGTTGCTTAACTTCGCTGATCGTACGTGAACCGGTGTTTCAACGGGATATGCTTAATATACGTGGAAGACAACTCATTTTTGCGGGGAGGTTTTCCGGCACCCAACAGGCGAGTTTTTTTTAATTCCACTCAGGTTATTAATTGCACTTTCCCCATAACTAAAAAAGTAATTACTATAGCGTTACTTACTAAGCCGCAAGTATAGGGCACCTAGTGAGAATCAAACTCACTACTTATTAGTATTGGTTAACTAGAATAGTCTCGTTATCCATTACGCCAAGCCAATTTCAGCTTACTGTCAAATCACGTTTTATAACACCTGTTCCTATCCGATCGCCGAAGTTAAGCAATGTCGGTCCCGGTCAGTACTTAGATGTGAGGTCGCTTACGAACACCGGCTACTGTAAAGTAACCTCCTATAATCCGAAATATGTTTCGGCTTTAAATAACTTACAAAGGGTTGATAAACCGTAAAAAACTAATTAATCAACTATGCCGATTTAAGCTTGCTTGATCTTTACAAAAAGGTCAACACTTGTTGGGTTGTTTAATGTTAAATTTTATATGGGACACCTAGTGAGGATCAAAGTCACTGCTCAGTAGTAACGTCAGCAAGATTATCTCGATGACACTTACCCGCTCCCACGCAAGATACCCACAGTAATAATTATAGATGGTTTAAGTTTTTTCTTAACGCGTTTATAATATGACGCATGTTGAAAAGTTCGATTCCATTGCATTGTTTATAAAATAGCTTTCCATATTTTATATTATATTGTTTTTTTTTTATTTATTTGTTGATTTTTTTTTAATCAATTCACCCCAAGCAAGGCAATAATGCCACTAAGACCCAAGAGACTACTAGGAGTGAAAGAGAATGAAAAGATTTTAGAAGTAACCGGAAACCCAATCCTAAACAGGAAACAAGGGATAGACCTCTACTCCTGTTCAAAAGACTGGGAAAGAGTGTGAAGTGGACGATAGGCGAACCTATCTACTTTTATTGTAATTTAAAGTCTAATTATTTAAGAACATATTGAGTGAGAAGACCTGATACATACATACATATATATATATATATATATATATATATATATATATATATATATATATATGTGTGTGTGTGTGTGTGTGTATATATATATATATATATATATATATATATATATATATATATATATATATATATAAATTCAGAGAGGATAGAATCCAGGTAAAACTCAATGTCCAGGACAGAGTAAGAAAATAATATATGAGGTTCAAACACTAATATTCCATTGTTATAATTTATTACATTGGAGTTGTAATCACGATCCAAATCACGAGACCTATAAATTCAAATATATATATATATATATATATATATATATATATATATATATATATATATATATATATATATATATCCTACGTAACTTATTAAAGATGGGTATAAACGCAACCCTATTCCTATCATCCATTTCTAATTTTCATGCTATGATTCTCCCCACTACTGTCTCCTCTGTCACCTTACGTCAATCTAAAACTATCCCTCACAACTTGTATTAAAAAAAAAAACAAACCAAATTCTTTTGTAACTAGAAATATCACCTGATGAACCAGGAAAAATATATTTTCTGGAGGAATAAATTATAGTCATGGAACCTTAAGGTTATCTTTTTCTTAATTTAATTATTTAATATATAATTTAATTATTTAATATATATATATATATATATATATATATATATATATATATATATATATATATATATATATATATATCTTCTGAATCATGAGGTCGACACATTTATAGAATGTTTAAGTTGTATTAGAGTTGGCATATTTAAGACCAGCTGCTGAGAAAGTTTATTACGATGTGGTTGCCCGGCGACTTGTTTCCGTGTGAGAATAAACATTCTATTAGTAATCAAGCAGGTCTTCTCCATTGGAGTAAAATGAAAGACAGAGTCTATCAAGTAGGTGTTTATTGTTTTGTGTCTGTTTGTGTGTGAATCGACTGGAGGTCAAAATATGCTTGATGTGTGTGTGTGTGTGCACAATGAGGAAATCCGTTATTGTTTTGAAGGAACTGGTACAGGAAGAAGGGCGTGGTTTGTTAATTTGATAAATGCTTCGAGAAAGAAAAAAACACAGAAAAAAACAAAGGAAATTAAGGAAAGAAAATAAGGTATAAGGAATGAAAAAAAAAACGAGGGGAGGGGGAATAAAAGATAGAAAAAAAAAGAAGAAAAAGTGTAAAAAACATGCAGGAAAGAAAACAAGTCATGGAAGAAATAAATATAGAAGAAGAAAGCTATTAAATGGAGTCTGACCTCGAATGAGATAGATAGATAGATAGATAGATAGATAGATAGATAGATAGGCTAATATAGAAAGGTAGATGAGAGTTATGAAGCGACTCAGATAGATAGATAGATAGATAGATAGATAGATAGATACAGATAGCAAGATAGATTGATAGAGACATGCAAACAGATTGAAATAGGAACATAGATAGATTGAATGAGAGAGAGAAACCGAGAGAGATACAGATAGATAGAGAGAGAGAGAAAGAGAGAGATACAAACAAATAGATTGAGAGATGAAGATAGAGAGAGAGAGAGAGAGAGAGAGAGAGAGAGAGAAAGAGAGATACAAACAGATAGAAATATTGAGAGAGAAATATAAACAAATAGATTGAGATAGATAGATATAGATAGATAGGTAGATTGATACAGAGGGAGACTGAGAGTGATACAGATAGGTAGATAGAAAGACTGAGAGAGAGAGAGAGATGCAAACAGATAGATTGAGAGAGATACAAACAGATAGATACATAGATAGACAGGCTGATAGATCAGAACAAACTGAAATGCATAGACCAGAACAGAGTGACATAGATAGATAGATAGATAGATAGATAGATAGATAGATAGATATCAAGTAACTGAGATAGATAGATAGATAGATAGATAGATAGATAGATAGATAGATAGATAGATAGATAAGAAAAAGAAAAGAAAAGCCTCGACGTATATTACAGCGATAAATTATTTACTTAAAAAATAAACAAGTGGAACAAAGCCGTTAGTGTAGGACGATGACTGACTTATAGACCAACATGCTAATCTAGCGATTTCCATCTTGCATCCAGTGCACTGACCTTGTATCAGACTAACCTTTTTTTTATAAATAATCATGACAAAAAAAATAGCGCTTTTGTGCGAGTGTACATTCACGCATGCGCAGGTGAAAGGAACCATCAATACTTTTTAGGCAACAAACTTTTTCTATTGTTGGCACTGTTTACTTTATGGCCCGATTCTATTTGGCTTTGCTTGAAGCTCTCAACAGAGACAAGTGTTTATATACACCAATACAACATATCACCATTTCTTTCTTTGTTTCCGATATTTCTTTATTTATCTCTACAGTATACTGCGATCCACTTCTTTCTTTCTTTCTTTGTGCTTGTCTTCTTTCTTTCACTTGTAGACAGATGATATAATGGTATTAGTTAAAGCATCCACGATTAAAATAAACGTTTCATTGCTTAATAAACTAATTATCTCGATTGGTAGAATCTTATACTGAAACGCTAGAATTTACATTATTCGATTTCGGACTTCAGCCCTGATTAGTTGAAACAATAGTGACTTCACTTCTAGTCATCAACTGAATCAGATCTCACCCGCGGTAGGGTGTTGGAACGAAAATCTAATGGTTCCGATTTTCGACAACTTAGAGCAAATTTACTTCTATGCTAAATTATGAAATGTCTGATTTTTTTTTTATAGATATAGCAAACTAAATTTAGGTTCTACACTTAAATTTCTGTTTAGTTTTATTTTTTCATTTAATTTCTCTTGGGATAAAAAATCAAGAACAATAAATTGGAAGAACAATTGATTTACCAAATTGCTGGAAACACTAGCCATAAATATTACTGCCATTTTTGAGGATCCGAAAGTGGAGAGAGTATTTGTGACCAAGAGTAATATGTCTGCGTATGGTAAAAGAAATGAAGATAATTTTCGAAATGGAGATAATTTTATTAATTTTATGATCCAGTCAGTTATGTGCCATGCGTGATACACTAGATTGACGATTTTTATTTAAAAAAAAAAACTATTATGTAAATTTTTGTAACTTTGTATAATATTTATGCATTACACCCTAATCTTTATTCGGTAAAAATTTCATTGCTAATCATGCATTACTTTTTAAGTAATACGCATATTTATGTCTTTGTTGTTTCCGTTCCTTATATTATGGCCGCTACTGTATATATATATATATATATATATATATATATATATATATATATATATATATATAAAGGATTTTAAATGTGAATTAAGTTCAAGCGTCTAATGATTTTTTTTTTTTCTTTCATATTTTCGCGATATTTTGGGAAAAAAATGATCGACCAACTGAGAGTGTAAATGGAAAAATTATTCGTAAATTCAAACGAACTGGGTCGGTGACAGATGTGAAAACACCATGGCGTGCTCGTTTACGCCGTTCAGCTGAAAACATTGCTGCAGTGGACGAGAATGTGGCCAAAAATCCAGACCCCTCTCTTCGTCATCGCGCGCAGGAATTGAACCTCTCCACAACAACGTTACATCACATTTTGATAAAAAGATTTGTCTCTAGACGCTTACAAAAATTCAATTGACACAAGAACTGAAATCGGATGGCCATATGGAGAGCCGTACATTCGTCAATTGGGTGCATGAGCAAAAACAAGCCGATGAAGGTTTTTCGCAAAAAAATTCTCTTTAGTAATGAAGTCCATTTTCATCTTGGTGGATTCGTTAATAAGCAGAATTGTCGCATTTGGGCTGATAAAAATCAAAGGAAGATTGTTGAAAAGCCACTGCATTCACAAAAGGTCACTGTTTGGTGTTTTTTTTTTTTTTTTTTTTTTGCCAGCGAAATAATTGGGTCGTATTTCTTCGAAAAAAGATGCTGGGAATTCTGTTACGGTGACAGGCAAGCAGTACCGTGCCATAATAACCAACTTTTTATGGCCTGAATTGAATGCTATGGACGTCGAAGATTTGTGGTTCCAACAGGACGGCACGACATGCCATATGCCACATGCCACACAGTCAATGTAAAAATGGCTTATTGAATGAATAGTTCCCAGGTCGCATTATCTCTTGAAACAACAAAGTCAATTGGCCACCACAACCATGTGACTTGACGCCTTTAGATTTCTTCCTTTGGGGGTCATCTCAAAAGTAATGTCTATGCCAACAAGCCAAAAACAATTCAACAGCTGAAAGATGAGATAATAAGGCATGTTGGTGAGATTGAGGAGCAACTATGCAGGGACGTCATCAACAATTTTTACCATCGGGTGGAGGTATGCCGCCAAAGCCTTGGTGGACATTTGAGCGATATTATTTTTTTCACATAATTGCCATGACATAAATAACATGATCCAATAGAGAAATAAATAAATTTTCACTAATAACACTGATTTATTTACTGCTGACTTTAGGAAGAAAATTCTCTTTTAAGCATGTCTGATTAAATAAATTACAAACATTATGTCTGCTTATTTTTAGGATAATCTTTTCATATTCACGGATATTTTTCCGTATGTAACAGTTGGGAAATAAAAGTAATTTTCACTGTTAGAGTGCACTTCTTGCATCATTCAATTGTGTAGTTGCATCAAAGTAAGCATCACTTTAGTCAGATGAACTTCTGCGAAAACTTTTTCCACTTTCTCATAGTTTCTTTTCCTATCTATCTATCTATCTATCTATCTATCTATCTATCTATCTATCTATGCTGTTGTTTTTAGCGTTCAGTAGACTCCCCTGAGGAATATTATTGACAACAGTGTCATAAGAGTAGCCGTTGTTACTGTGGTTTCTATAGCAAGAAGGTATTTATCGGGGTAACATTGCTCACCCTTCACCAAACCTGTTTTGAATTCTATTGTCTGCAAGATGATTAAGTTCACTGCAGTGTTCATTATTCGAGTTGTGGCAAGCATCTGGCTTGTGCAGACATTGTATTCACTAGGAAGATTGGCGCAAAATAATCTTCTTATTGAAATTCAAATGTATGCGTAGACATATAAGCACTTATAGTCATAAATCTAGAACGAAAATACTCACGAAAAAATATACTGTTGGGCAAAACTTTTGGTAACATAGAAACAATATTTGCAGACTCATCCCCAATACAACAGATGAGCTATCTTTTTTAAAAATCTAAGCACAAATTCATCGAGCAGGCTCTAAAAATCAATACCAATGATCATCAATAGTTTTCCCTTAAACCCACCGGCAAGTGGCGCCACCTACTGTTAAAAACAACATGAATATGGCGACCAGAAAAAAATGAACCTGATCCTTTAGGACAAACCCATTGAACCAACACACACATCGTGTCCCCATCTCGATTCGCTCATTGTCTTCTCATATATTTGCTATCATTTGTATTTCGATAATTAGGGACACTATTACATTCACTTATGTGCTAATACCCTTGGGAAAGTATTAACCTCTTCTTCTCCTCCCAGCTATGGATAAATAGTAGGACAGACCGGGTTCTATAGCCTTGGATGGCTTACTGGTCTACCGCAGAGAGAAATGGCAAACTACTGCTGCAAAAAAATCTGCCTCGTCAGTCATGTATCGAAAGATACATGATCGCGCAAGAGTGTATCACGCATGGCACATAACTGACTGATCTAATCGATATACTTTCACATCAAATAAGATGATTTAAAAATAACAGATTACATGCATTTATCTTTATTCCTTCTGGATCTTACTTTTTTTTTTTCTACGGTTCCACTTTTTGTTGTTTTTTTATTTGTTCACCTTTTTCTTTCTTTTCTTTTTTAACACGTCGTCTTTCTTTTTTTTTTTTTTGCATTTATTCTATTTTCTCAAATCTTTCTTTCTTTCTTTCGTTCGTTCTTTTTTCTTTCGTTCTTTCTTTCTTTTTTCTTTCTTTCTATCATTCATTCTTTCTTTCTTTCTTTCGTTCGTTCTTTCTTTCATTCTTTCTTTCGTTCGTTCTTTCGTGCTTTCTTTCTTTCTTTCTTTCTTTTATTTGGTTTGTTTCCTGTTTGCATGAATTTATTAAATTCTTCACTCCAATGATTCGAATCCTGCTAAGAATTCGTCTTTGGACCCTTTTTTTTTTCATCTTTTCTTTTCTATATTTTACTCCAAATTCTCTTCTTATTCCTTTGATTCTACACTCTTCCTCCAAAGCTTTTATTATTTGTATCTCTTCATCTTTTTCAGCTCTATCGTCTCCTCCCTTTGTCTTCTCTTCTGTCCGCTTTTATTCATACATCTCGCCATTTTCATTCACTCCTTCATTCTCTTGTCTTTTTCATCATATTCTTCTCTTTTTTTCCTCCTTTATTTCTTATGATTTTCCTCCTTCTCTTCATCTTTTTCTTGTCATTTCTACCGTCTTTTTATTCTCTTCTCTGTATTTTCCCCCACGTCTCCTCTTAACCTTCTTATCTCCTTCTCCTCATTCTTATTGCCCTTTTAACCTTTTCTCTCCCTTTCTCTTTTTTTTATATCTTCCCCTGTTTTCTTCATTTGATTCTACCATCCATTTCTCTTTTTCACCCTCTTACGCACTTTTCTCTTGACTTTTTCATCTTTTTCTCCCCTTTTCTCTTATCATTGTTCTTTTCTTTTCTCCCCGTCTTTATCATTTTCACTTCTCTACTCTCCTCCCCTTACTCCTCTCTTGTCCTTTTCTTTTCACTTTCCTTTCATTCTTCTTCTCTCATCTTGATTTTCGCTTTCTACTATGTTTCTACCTGCCACACTCATTCTCTTTCTTTCCTGTTTTCGTCTTCCTTATGCCATAATACTTTACTTTCTTCATCGATCTTCACTAATTTCACTTGTTTTCTCATATTTTCTATCTCTTCTTTTCGTTTCATGTTCATCCAATATTCTTTTTCGTTTCGTTTCCGTCAATCTCTTGCGGATTTTGGATGCACCCTGCTTGTAAATCTGAAACTAATTCCAGCATAAAATCTTGATCGGTCTGAAAAAGGGGCTTCTATATAAGATGGATGATTTCACTGCGGGATGAAGACAAAAAATTGGCTTCTGGGGTGAAAAGATGCTAGCCTACAGAGTCTGATTGCCGGGGGAGTGGGGAGGATACGTATTTATTCAATGTAAAACATGTCGTACGATAGAGGCAATCATATGCGTTGAACACACACATACCTTAAACACACACACATACCTTAAACACACGCATACCTTAAACACACACATACCTAAAAGCGAGCACGCGAAAACAAACAAAACATATACAAAGACATTTATCTGAGTAACTTTATTGTCAGATCATTGCACCAGAAACCGAAAGGTCTATTGTTCAATTTATGGTGCCATCTCACTTACGCCTGAATGCCACAAGAGGATTTCTGTGAAAATATATTCTTATGGAAAATGGGGGAGAGAGAGAAAGAGAAAGAGAGAGATGTAGGAGGAGGAGGAGTAGTGAGAAAGAGAGCGCGAAGAAGGGGGAAGTAGAGGAAATGTTAGAGGGGTTGCAAAAGGAAGATGAGGAAAATTGGACAAAGATAACGAAAAGAAAAAGAAAATGGCTGAAAAAGAGAATATGATAAATTACGAAGATTAAAAAAAATATTTTCTCTGTTCGAGTATTTTATTTTATTTTCTTAATTAATTATTTATTTGTGTTTTATCAAGAACTGTTTCATGCATTTTCATTTTAAAATTTGGGTTGTCATTTATTATTTCCAAGTTTAACACCATCTTTCTGTCTGCTGAATAAATCTGATCACTGATCAATAAGTCCGTAGCCTGACATGAGATTACTAACCGAATATGGATAAAAATTCTCATTTATAATATTCGACCGATGACACTGAGATTCAATCGGAAGAGAATTTGGGACACACCAACCCCATTTTTCCCCCAGTAAGAATCATAGGTTTCGGATGTGCGGATAGTGGAATAGATAACAGCTCGGAATGAAAACTCAGACAGCCAAGATTGGATTCCAGTCGGGTTCATTGCATTTATTTATGCGTAAATACCCTTAAGAAATATATGAATCCACCTTTTCTCCACCTCTATGGGTAAAATAACAAGTCTGACTGCGATCTTTAGTTGAAGCTTCTCGGAGAAGAACAACTCGGAATTCAAAACTAACAATTGTTCATAATTCCCGACCATCAGCACTGGGGATGAGAAGAAGCAAATTGATATTCATTAATGAATTAAGTGCATTGACAACAAAGTGGATTATGATGAAAAATATACATGACGAATTTTCATCATTAAGTTATAGACTTATTGATGGATCTGCGAAATTTGTCTATTTGCATATCTGAGATGATGAATTGACCTTATGTACATATGGTCTATTTTTCTCATATTTGTTGTTATTATCACGACGTTTCAGCCATTGGTCTCTCCAGCCTTCTTCAGATGCTAGTTGAACTGGGTAGCCTTCAGAAAGAACCTTCTATTTAATATACTGGAATAGATTATTTTCGTTCTTTCTAATTCGGATTTAATCCTACTCAGGTATTGTTCGTCCCGTTTCTACTGAGACCAAAGTGTGTACTACCCGGGCTAGTGGATTCAGGGAGAGGATAATTGTGAGTTCAATCCCTGGTCCGGCCAGTGCGTACTTTGTTAATATAAATGAATAGTCATGGTTTCTTGAGAAGTATAGTGAGATAGTTTCCCGTTGCCTTCTCCAGGGTTTTTTTTTTAATTAATCAGAGTAATCCTAGAATGTTGGCCATCCATAGCTATAGAGCACGCCTATACGAAAGTCGCTACTGTTCTAAGTTAAATATGCACATACCCCACTTAAAAGTCTGGCGCAACATGATCTTACTACTGTCATATTTTTATGCGGAATAACTATACCGCTTATAGTGGTTGTCTTCAAGCATGTTTAATGCACAAATCTGGTATGCCATTATCTGTTTTATCCTTACTGAGTGCTGTATGAAAAAGAACAGTTTTGCTTTCTCTGCTGCCTTCACGGCTGACGAAGATGATCAGCGACACCTACAGCTTATTCTTTTCTCGCCTCGGCAAAGAAAAAGGAGGAGATAATCCAATCTCATCCTCCTCTTTTCTCTTTCTACCAGTATTTTGTTCTTTACCCATTTAAATATCTCATTTTTGACTCCTCTTTTGAAGAGACCCCCTCCCAATCCAAAGTTCTGGCCTTTTTTTTTTCGTTTATAAACAGCAATTATAATTAGAGACGTCGAAATAAAAAAAAAAAGAAAGAAAAAGAAACTAAAATGATAATAAAGCGTACGCATGGACACATTTAAAGAGAAATAAAGAGAAAAACACAAGGAAGTTCAGGAGGGGAAAAAATGGCATCTTAAGAGCCACAAAGAGTGAATTCAACTATTTCGAACGCGTTAGCTCATTCATATTTTAGTATCCACATTCCTCATATGCTCTCTATGGCTTGTGATTTGATAGTGTCACGTCCTCCAACGTCTCACACGTTTTTTCCCGCTCTTTCCTTCTTTTCGTTCTCGTCATTTAATAGGTGAAGAAAATTGCTTACGTATTTCTCGATTTGTCGTGATTTCCTTTATTTGTTATATTTTAACTCCTTTTTGTTGTTGTTGTTGTTTCCGAAAAACAAAAGAGTTTTCATCTTTGCCGTCTCGTTTCTAGCTGCACTTTTATTCTTCGTCGTTAATTCTAATACCAATGCATCATTTTCTTTTGATATCTGTACACATTTTTTTGTATTCATTTCACCCCATGCAAGACAATAAAGCCACAAAGGCGAAAGGGGTTACTGAGTGTAAGAGAATATAAACAAAAAAAAAAAAAAGAAAAAAAAGAAAAAGAACAGAAATTAATAAGACAGTAAGGTAACAATTGACATTGCATTTAAATTTTTGAAGATCAAAAATAACTAGGAAGCAAGAAGAGGTAAGAGAGTTTCATAAATAAGAGAAGAAACTGTTAGCATAGAACCTACGGTTACATCTAGCCGTTTCAACTGTAAAATGAGGAGACCTTGCCGCCAGTCTAGTTCTGCGCTTAAACGTATAAATTCTAGGTACCAAAAAGTAAAGATTATCAGAACAGTTATCATGAAAATATTTATAAAAAAGGAACGAGGAAGCTAATTTACGGCGGTAGAAAACAGACTGAAGCCGAGATGTCAGGTCAGGACCAATAAAGTTGCAGAATCCTCTTTCTGTTTTATCAAGAATCTCTAAATATATGACAGGAGCACCAGACCAGATGTGACAGAACTATTGAAATATTTCTTTCTGTTTTGCTTTTCCTTCTATTTATGTTCGTTTTATATTCTTTTCTTCCTTTACTTTGTCATTTTTAGTCTTTTTCTTGAATAGTTTTCTTTCTTTTTTATTTTGTTTATTTGGCTCTCCTTTTTTATTTTTATTTTAACTATTTCATCCGAAGCAAGGTAAGAAACAAGCCATTAGTACGCAAGGGGTTACTGAGTGCTAGAGAATATGAAAAAAATAAAAACTGCTATTAAGGAGTGAGGACAATAAAAGAACAAGAATTAACCAGACAGTAACTAACGATTGACATTTCATTAAAAATTTGTGAAGATTCAAAGTTGACTGGAAATCAAGAAGCGGAAAGAGAGTTCCACAAACAAGAAGTGCGAGAAAAAACTGTTAACATACAGGAACCGCATACTTACAGACTGGGTGAGAGTAAATAACGAAATATTGCAGTGAATAAAAAATTTTTACTAAGAAAAATCCAAGTGCTGTGTTATACTTTAATCGCATCATTATACCTGCCTAGAAAATCAGTGTTTGAAAAGGAGAAGTGCGATAGAAGAAACTGTTAGCATAGAACTTACGGTTACATCTAGCTATCTCAACCATAAATTGATGAGACCTTACCGCCAATCTAGTACGGCGCTTAAACGCATAAATTATAGGTACCAAAGAGTAAAGATTATGAGAACAATTGCCATGAAAATATTCATAGAAAAGGAACGAGGAAGCTATGTTACGGCGGTAGGAAATTGACTGAAGCCGAGATGCCAGGTCAGGACCAATAAAGTTGCATAAAAGAGATTTTTCAGATACACAAAACTGTGGGTTTTGATGAAAAAACACTTTGGGTAGAGAATTGAAAAATAAAATCTTGAAAGAAAATGAACGCTGTTCATTAGCGTCGCAGTCGAATACGAACTATTAAGGTACTATGTCTGTATCAGTTACTACCCTGCATTTGCGTGCCGTCACACGTACATCCATATTTAATATATATGTACACAGCTAGATTTCAATCAAGCACGTTCGCTCAAAGTTTACTAACAAGATATGAATGCTTAAATTTTAGGTTATTCTTCCAATTTGCGAATAAGTTTTCGCACATCTGTGCCGAAAATATCGATAGCTGATGATTTTGTATGCGTACTGTCGGCCATATTTGAATATTATCAGTAACATTAATATTGACACAGTTATAGCGAAAATATTTATTAGCCTCATCCTGGTATTCTTAAGAACACCACACAAAAATTTTAAACCTCTTTTGCATACATATATATATATATATATATATATATATATATATATATATATGTGTGTGTGTGTGTGTGTGTGTGTGTGGAGAGATAAAGAAGGATAGAGAGACTACAATTCTTGTGAGTGAAATTGAGGATACGAAACAGTTTGAATGAAGATTGTGCTAGAACGAAGCCACAAGTCATGGTGGCTGAGGGTTTTAGCGTTGTTTGACGATCTTTAAACTGCTAATCATGACTGATTATACGGTCTCTCCCAGAAACTGTAACTAATGTCTGTTCAGCATAGATGCAACAAAACCTACAGGTGAACTCTGTAACATATGTACTCGGAAAAGGAGTAGCAGTATATATATATATATATATATATATATATATATATATATATATATATATATATATATATATATTATAATTATAATCTTCACTGGCA